TGTCTTTCTCTGAGCTAATGTTATCTTTTGTAAAAGTGGAACTGAGAGTGATAGTATAACTTATAGTATACACAGGATAAAGTAAACCAGATTTTACTTACTTTGCTTGAACATTTCTGATGAATATTCACTGGGTTTAAAGGAAGATGACCAAAGAAACCTGTAGTTACTCTGTTAATGTTACATACTGAAAATTACCCAGTATTTTTTCCAGGACTTGTGTATAATGCACAATAATAGTCAGCAAAGGTACAATCCTTTGTGGATAGATCTCCATATCTGAAATAAATAAATAAATAAATCCTATAAAACATACTGTACGCTATTTTCTTCCTTTTCTTTCTTCAGAGATTTTCTTAATCACCTTTGGAGTAAAAGCTGGTAGATTCAGCACACTCATTTGCACTGAAGAATGTCCTTGGGAGGAATTCAGTATCTCCTTATAGTTTCAGAAGAATTCAGATATACTCATTCCTTTTGTCTAATTGCATTGTGGAAATTCCTCTTACTCTTTGCCATCAACCAAATCTGAACCTTTTTCAACTGTGAGAAATTTAAACCACAAACCAATTCCTAGTTTATTCCCTAACTGCTGCAGCCCAGTATCTGACCTCATATGTTCCAACTTTTGCTGCTGTCTTACTTTCTGTTGCAGAAAGCTAATGCTCATTATAAAAGGCAACTTTCAAAGTGTGGATATGGCTGTGTAAAAGCATGAGTGTTGGCTGCTGAATCTGCAGTGCATGAAACACGGAGAAAGAAAAATCAGCTTACCCCAAAGTTTCAATGTTGTCTAGATGATACCTCAGAAAAAAAGCAAGTTGCTGGGTTTAATGGCCTAATTCACTTTTCAAAAAGCCTCATGTACCAGCAGACAGAGGAACATTTTGGATGTCTTCAGACACTAATGACTCCATTAGTTATGATAACTCACATTCCATGACTAAGCTGCACACCTGCATGGACTTTTCCTCACATCTTACAGCATGACCCACACATAAAGACTGCCATTTTAGATTTATTTATTGTTCTTGGTACTTCCTTCCACTGGTCTTTTATCTGTAGACAGGATAGTGTTTTGTCTCCAACTTTATGTCAAACAAAATAACAACACAACAACAACAATAATAATAATAACCTGGTAAAATTATGTAACCACTAGAGAAGTAATTCAAAGAGCTTTAGAATAAAATTGAGAAAACCTGAAAAGGACAACACAAATATTTTTGACACAAAAGGTAAGTGCAATTCAGCATGATATGTTGTGTTCAGGGAGCACAGGTCACAAGGCAAGGCTTTCTTGCTTCTGGATTGTTGGGGTTTTTTCTTTCTCAAGTTTTTCTTTCTTCCTCTCTTCCCCATAGTTATCCTTCTCACTCTTCAGGTTGCCTTGGTGTAGAAATGATGATGCAGGAACACAACTATCAACAAAACATGCAAAAGGAAGACATTTTGTCTCCCTGCTCAGGCTGGTCTTTCCAAAGCTGTGGATGACTCTAAGACCAGATGAGAGACCTGCCTTTTTCTTGTACCCATATAACATGTGGAAAATAGAAGGCTCAAGACAACTTAAAAATAGTAAGTAAATCCTCCCTGCCTTTCCTTCCCCCCACCCTGTCTTTTTCTAGATCTCTTTAAAATGTGGGTAGAGAGGCCATTTACTGACTTACACCAAATATCAATTGGTTTTCAAAAGCGCTTTTGCACAAGTGGATTAGCCTGAATAAAGTTATAACTCCCTCACTATGTCTGCCAAGCAATTAGGAAGACTGTTGGTTTTCCTTCAGAGTATAGGACTGTGGTTTCAGTAAGTCTAGTAGCCTTTTTTGAACTGTTTGCAGGGCTTACCTATCATACATTCCCTGAGACTGGCCACGTAGCATTCTGAGACATAAATAACCTGTGAAATCCTGCTGTGAGAGTGTATGAACTACTTAAAAATCTGTAAACAGAGAGTTGGGTTTGCGAGCTATATGGTATCACCAAAAACTAGAGAACATGTCTTGCTGGAGTGAAAAAATATTGCATGAGACTTGTCAGGAAAATTGTAACATGGTATTTTCACATCAGGATCTTTCCAGCAAAAGATTCAGGAAGGCTTGCAAATTGTGAGTATTTTCTAAATCCAACTTTTCTAAATCCAACAAATTCTCTAAATCCATCTTTGGCCCTATACCAGATCAAGGGAATCAGTCTAACTAAGAGCCAGTGCAGTCTTAGAAAACATACTCTTATTGTGTACTCTACAAACACTTACTCTTGTGGTATGTTTGCATGCAAGAACTGATCCACTGTTCTGCTTTGCACTAGTTATTTTCAAGGACTCCCACTTAGCCTGAGAGAGAACAGATACAAATAATTATAGAATAAAATGTTGTCAGAGAATAATGCAATCTGGTTGCTTCAGTCCAATAAAAGCCAAAGCAACATAAAACTTCCATGGAAAAGGGCAATCATTGATTCTATGAGGATAACACTTTATTACAGTGCCTTGTTTCTATTCTGCCAAAATAAATTAAAATATCTTAGTCCTTCATTATGTATAGTTTAGCTTACACATCTAATTTTGGCCTTTTTAAAATTACCTTGGCAAATCAGAAACATTACTGTTTCTTTCTAATGCTGAACTCAGCGTGCAACACAGGGGTATTTCAAACTTAAACATCATTATTTATGTGTTAAGTTGTAAACTAGACAGTATAATGTTTCAAAATCAGTTCCCGCTGCCTTAACTTCACTCCTCATGTTTATTACTTTCCCAAATTAGAAAAGGTACATCATAAAAAGTCATAATTTCTACTTTTGTCCAATTTGTACATATAGCTATGTAATGATAGCTGATCCAGACCAACTTAAAAAGTCTCACTTTTTCTCAAAGACAAGATATATTTTCTTAAATACATGAATTTTATACATGGAGTATTATATCTCAAGAAGTTATTATAATTTCTTTTAAGGACATCAATAGTACATTTTTTTTTTAAAGTGAGAAATTTGAGAACACTTGAGTTCCTGATTACTCATTGAATAGTCCGGATAAATTTTAAATAAAGTGAGACAGATTTCTAAGAAAATTAATTAGTTCTCTTAAGGAACACACAATATAAAAAATAACAGTGATAATATTAAATAATTATGCAGATACACATCATCTTTTTATAATTATTATTTATAGGTAACTATTCAAGAAGTCCATTTCTATCTTTTCCTCAGTATACTCATTACAAAAATAACTCTAAAATATGACTAACTTCTTTCTAAGTGTTCATTAATGACAGCTTTATTCTGCTTTATAGCTGAAAATATGCAATTTCCTAGGTTTTGGCATTATACATCTGCAGTTACTTTCTTTTCAAAAAAGGTTAGGTAGTGTCAAAGCATTGGACATGATTCAGATTTTAGTGTGCACTGATTTTATGAATATTTAATTTTTCAACTGTAATCCATTTATACAAATGTGATTACTGAGGCAAGTGAGATGTAGTTGAAAAGCATACTTATTTTAAATTTTACCAAAATATGTTATAGCTATTTAACAAATGAATCACCAATTCTACTTAGCATAATTCATCTTGAAGCTTATACGTGCATATACATTGTATCAGTTATCACAGATGACCAGAAATAGGCAGTCAGTACATCCATTAATCATTCATGCAGACACCTTGGAGAAGGGCAAAGTTTGAACCATGTCTCAAATTATATACATATTGGAAGAAGAAATTCTGTTTCAGAAGCGAAATGTAATAAAATGATCCCTGCACCAAAAATAATAGTAATAACCAAGCTTACTGAGTTTAAAATAAGCAAGGACAGAAATGCTATCTTTGATGCAAAGAAGAGACAGACTACTTTTATGAATGCCATAAAAATATACTATTTTAATAGATACATAAATAAAAGGTTTAAAGTAGAATTTTCCCCTCAAACATAAAGATGGCCTAGCTTCTGTACAGAAACTGAACAATATTCACGTGACTACTAAATTAAATAATCACTTTGTTACATTCAAAATAATTGGAGGCAAATACATAATGAAATGATGCACCTGAATCATTCTCCTTTCTCATCCTAGCAGTGTATACAGTATTTTATTGTTTTACAGTACTCTGAGGATATGGATCTGTTAAATAAAACTCTGAATTATAGAATGGAAATAAAATTAAAAATCAAAGGAGAAAAACCCCAAACAACCCTAGCACCCAAAGGAGTACCTTGCATCATCCACTAATTAAGGTTTTAATGGAAGAGAAATAAGCATTGTGCTGTAAAATAAATTATGTCTTTTACATATTGATGTATAGTTATCTTAAAGTGTTTAAACATTACATTCACTTTGGTGATATGATTTTCTACATGCCTATAAAAAATTATACATGGCATGTGCTAGCTGTTCATATGTGTTGAATAACAATCTTCTGGTTTTACTACAAATGGAGGGAGCTTAATACATTCAGGAAATTTTAAAAATATTTTTGATTTATGTAGGACAAAGACTAATTCAAAGCAGCTTTCCTCCTATCATGCCCCCCTCTGCAGCACCTCTAAAAATTTCCTGATGGCCTCATGTTTTTGCTGTGCTGTATCAAAAAATGTCACAGGTTGGAGTCTAACGCTTTCTGACCCACAGAGGTTCTGCAGTTCTGTTTTTGCTTTCTCTCTATGAGTCATTTGTCAGTTTGAAAACATCTACCATTAATATCTCCATACTCTCCAAATATTCCAACTAATTTAGGTAAGGAACCACCATTTGTCCAACAAAAATTAGTTTAATTAAATTAAGTGTTATTGTTGTTGTTATCTGGAATGTAGCTGTGATGGGTGAGAACCATTCATCCTGTAGAGGAGGAAGTTTGTGATGTGGACATTTATGTACACTCAAGGCACAGTGCTGAGTTATCTTGTGCTGGTGAAATCAGAGAAAAAACATGAAAGATGACAACTTTCATCCATAGTGCAGAGCTAGCATTTCTAGTATATTTTGTCAGAAGTTCAAGAAAGTTGGGCCCAGCTGACTTCGACTTGGCAAAAGAGCGTGCTTAGAGTCTATCCACCAGCAAGACGAGAACGGCAATGTAATGATTGCCCTTTTTTCTGATTTGCTTTTTTCTTGTTCTTGTTCTTTTTTTGCTTTTTTGCACCTTTACTTTTATCTGATTTCTTTTTCTTTTCATCCTCCTTAAACCATGGACCCCAGACTCCCCCATTCAGCTTTGGGTTACTCCGAGGGTCCTTAGGTGGGTATCGAACAGGAACCGCAGTCTTATTGAACTGTGAAAGCCTCTGCAACAACTGCTTCACTACATCTGGATACCTGGCAGAGAGGTCCACTCGTTCATACGGATCAGCAGTTATGTTGAAAAGCCACACTGTTTTGCCAGCTGACCAAGAAACGCGTTCATTGTGCCAGCGGTTGGGGCCTGCGTTACTGAAGGCCTGTGGAGGTACCCAGTCACTATATCCTGGATTTCCTGTCAGTAGTTTCCAATGATTCACTCTGATGGCAGACTGAATTGCAGTGTTCCAGATCCCATAGCCAGCTGCCCAGGACCCATTTTTGGCTTTGGTGTAAATCGGGTCAATGTTGTGCAAGATGTCCACCCGTGGAGAACGTCTGCCTTCGCTAATGGTTTCCCATATATCATAACCATCCAGCTGGATATCTTCATTGATCTGCCCTTCTGCCAGTGTGATCAAAGTGGGGAACCAGTCTGTGATATGTACAAGCTCCTTACACACAGACCCTTTGTTTTTCAGAAGGGGGCTATGGACAAACCCAACAGCACGGATACCTCCTTCCCAATAGGTCCCTTTGCTTCCTCGGAGAGGCCAGTTACTTCCTCCGGCCATTGGCTGCCCACCATTATCTGAAGAATATATGATAATGCTATTCTCATAATAACCATACTTCTTTAAAGCAAGGGTTACGTTGTTTATGGCTTCATCCAAACAAGCTAGCATTGCGGCATATCTTCGCCTGTTGATATTATTTATCGATCGATAATGTTCAAAATACTCACCTGGTGCCTGAAGAGGTGAATGAACAGCTTGGTAAGCAATATATAAGAATACAGGTTTCCTGGGGTTATGAGAAGCTAAGATTTGTTGTACTTTTTGTGTGTACATCTGCGTCGAGTAGATGCCATTGTCATGATCCCAAGCTGCATTGTCGTTCTCGTACAGGTCATAGCCACAAATCCCAGGGCTGTCACATTTGAAGTGAGTGTAATAGTCGCCGCTGCCTAAAAGCGAGCCGAAGAAAGTGTCAAATCCTCTCTGTGTGGGCATGCATTCTCTGCGATAAAACCCCAAGTGCCATTTGCCGACCATGTGTGTTGAATAACCAACCTCCTTCAGCTTCTGAGGTAGCGTGACATTATCCAGAGGTAAGCAGTTGGGCTGGGTTGGCCGTATAATGGAGTGCTGAAGGCCGGTGTGTATTTGGTACCTGGAGGCAGGGAAGAGACAGGCATCAGGTGGGGATGGAGGGAAGAAATGCTCAGGCCCTTTTGCATGGACACCCATACGCATAACTATAACAGAAAATATTCCTATGCATGCAGCAATTTTCTCTGGAAGTATTTTGAAGTGCATATGTCAAAAACTAGCGAGGTCATACTATTAAATCTTCTGAAACAGGAGAATGGCATCTGTTTTGCTTCACAAGTGTTTAAGAGCAATTCCCCCATCTCCATTGGCCAGTGGGCAACAATACTGAACAACAAAAAACATGACACAGCAGCATCACACACTTCTCTCCCTGCTGGCCTCATTTTTAATGTTTGAATTTCCTTGTAGCTGTGAGCAATGTCAAAGGATCTCAGAGGCAATGTGCTTCCTGTGAACCATTATTTGGGCACTACTATTTTAAAGCTAGCAGGCAAACTCACAGACCTTTGTGGTACCCCTCATGTATAATACAAATCCTAGAAAGCAGAATGCTTGCACCTTTTTTTTCTGAGCACAAACAAGTACTGCAGCACTAACTCGGGACAAGCTCTCATGGCATATGCAATACTGAAAGCCTGATGGTCTTATTTCTGGTCATCCATCATGCAATATGTGTATGGGCTATGACTTAGTAGAGACATTACTAATATTATAACAACTGAGTCAGTTGACGGGGCCTGGCTCTGCTCTCTCCTGGAACACCTACAGTCCTAAGCACTGGCATTTATCTCCTGAGTAAGTATGCATGGACAGCAAGTACCCTGGCCAAAATGCAAAGACGCATATGCAGTTACAGTGAAAGAGGTTTATAAGTGATCACTCAAAAGGAAGTGATAATTTCATCACTGGATCTCTTGTTCAGCAGTCATTTTCTGTCCTTACCTAACTGTTCGATGAAATGTTTACTTCCATGACCTGTTAGTCAAAATATCTATATATACAGGAGCACAGATATTTTGAGGTACTTCTTTTCCTCCACAGAAAGCTTTCACATGTCCCCATTTAACAAGTATTATAAAAGACTGCGTGGATAAACACAACTTTTACAATGCCTCATGATTTGCTAGTGGTAAACATATCTACAGCATATAAATATGCTGGATTTTAAGCAGGTAACATCAGTATATTTAAAGAATATACTGCAGTGCAGTACAGTCTATGTGTAAAGAATACATATGGCCTCCATATGATTAGAAAATGAATTCAACATGGGCAGCAGTAAGTATCAGAAATCAAGGACAAATCCATTTATATGAGTTTGACACTAAAAAATAAAATGTAACAGTACATCATAAACCAAAGAAGACCTCTCCCTGAATGTGAAAATAGATTAAATTCTCAGTCATAAATAGAGCAGCTGGGTCCACCAATATTATGAAACTTCCCCAAACCCACTTTTTTATTCATTTGTAGTAGGAGTTGGGACTTCCTGACACATTCTGCTAGTATTGCCAATCTGATAGGCCTCCTGAGCTGTCTAGAAAATTAAAAACATTAAGGCTCTGCCTGTCCATAAATTACTTAAAGTCTGCTTTTATATGATGTCTTCCTGGCCAAGATCTTAGAAGGCAACATAGATGTATTTAATGCCTGCCAATCTGTAATAATTGTGTAACTCCCATTTTATTCTTGAACTTATTTTCACTGAACCAGAAGCTCTAGTCTAACTAATTCATTGCAGAAGCTTTGGGTGTTGTACTCCTCTGCCTTAAGCTAGTCTGTACTCAGTACACTGCAGAACTGCTGCTCTTCTTTGTCTCCCTGGCACTTTTTCAGAGCATTGTTTCTGTTACCAGTTTGTGGATCTTGAGCCCTGCCATCCAATTTTCCCCAAACTCACAAGCTGGTGCTGACACAGGAGATACTGCAGTAGTTAAAGCATACTCTCAAAATTATGGGTTTCTGGGATCTACATTTTGCTTTTGTAAAAGAAATTGAACATGCACACAAATACCCACATCTTTCTCATCATTCAAGTACAATATTCTTCCCCTTTTAAATAGGTAAACTAAGATATGGAAACCACGCTGACTAACAGCAGTGCCCCATACTTCAGTTCACTCCATCTTTGAGGGTCCTCAGGGAATGATGTTGATAAGACATTTAATGTCTTTCCCCTTCTTTTTCCTCTGCCTTGTTAAACTCTCAGTAAATTCCCCTTACCTGATCTGACTGAAAAAGTCCTTGCCCTTTGTCCTGGTTTTGCTAGGATAGAGTTAATTTGCTTCTTAGTGGCTAGAATAGCTGTGTTTTAAGTTCAGTATGGGATTTGTTATGAGAAGAATGTTGATAAAATAGTAATGTTATTAGTTTCTGCTGGAGCCGAAGGCCATTGTGTTTGGCTGGTTCACAGCTGCATTAGGACTGGGAGGGAGAAGCGTAGTAAATAGTAAAACCTAAAACTGGCATTTGGATGTGCCAATGAAATATTCCATATCATATCATATCATATCATATCATATCATATCATATCATATCATATTCACTACATTAACCAGGGTTGACTGGAAAATGGGATCTTGGGGATCATTTGGGCTTGTTCTTCCCGGATCAAGGTTTTGGTTTCAGGACTGTGAGACTGGGTCTGTTTCAAAACCCGCCTAGATGTAGTCCTGTGTTACTTGCTCTAGGTGAACCTGCTTTGGCAGGGGGGTTTGACTAGATGATCTCCAGAGGTCCTGTCCATCCCCTACCATTCTGGGATTCTGTGACTGTCTCTGCTCTGGGATCACTGGCTGGCACAGGCTGGGCATCGGTTGGCAGGTGGTGAGCCATTGTACTGTGCATCACTCGTTTGTATATTCTGTTATTACAGTTATTGTTATTATTGTTTTATTTCAATTAGTCAATTATTTTTATCTCAACCTGTGAGTCTCCTTGCCCTTATCCTTCTAATTCTCTCCCCTACTCCTAGGGGGGTGGGGGGGAGAGTGAGAGAGCAACTGTGTTTGGCTGCAAGCCAAAGGAGTAAAACCACCACACCCTTACCCTGCTATTTTAGTAAACGGCTTCTGCTTTCTTAAACCTTGATACCGTCCTCTATCTTGAGATTAACCCCCAATCCCAGCCAGACATTTTCTCCCCTGATAAACGCATTTTGTTGGAAGTCAGAATTTTCTCTAAAGCGTTATTGTTGCAATAGAGATCCTTCTACTCTTCTCGACACAGAAACCTGGGAGGATAGGGCAACATATTGCAAACTAGTTTGCCTCTTGACAAAGCCTACACAGAAAGTATTATATTGATACAAAGTTAATTCCCATAAAGAATTCAGAAGCAACGTATAGATTCCCTAGCTAGGGTTTTTCATTTATCTATCCAAGCACGAAACTCCCACACTGTTAATGTGACAAACACTGAACTAAAAAATATGAAGAATTAGCCCGTTATTCATATTCTTCTTAGGAAAATACATGACATACAGCAACGCATTTCATTTCAGCAGTCCCCTCAGTCAGTTATTCAACATGCTGGCTACAATGCACATCTAGCAGTCCTGCTTCAGTTCTCTGTTGCTGTCTTTTTTCATGAGACTTCGGTGTGTTTCCCATATGTGTGTGTGTACATTATTAATGACATAGCTGTGCTTCTGAATATACATATATGCACACATACAAATAGACGTGCATTTTTATATTCATGTATGTAAAAAGGGATCTGCAAAATAATAAATTTTAAGTAAAATTATCTCAACTGTAGAAATGTTTCAAAGAAATATCAACCTCTAGTTATCAGAATATTCTTCACTATTACAAAAATGGTCAAGATTTTTTCACTTTTCTGTGCCACATGCCTTCATAATTGATCCATTATATGTCGGTATTGCTTTTGTGAAAGCATTTTGTTTTCAAAGGATGTGCAGACTACTCATGGCAAAACAATCTGAGAAAAAGGCAGTGATTATATGGAAGTAAATGGCATCGATAGCAATGGGAAAAGTGTTTCAATATTACTGTTTTGAAACTGTATTTAGACTGTGCAAGAGGAGAAAAAACTGAACAAGGCAAAACATAAAGGAAATAAGAGGCAGATGCTGATTTGCATGGAGTTCTCTAGAAGACAAATTCATGAGCCCACTAACTGCACAAAATGTCTGTGAAATACATTCTAAAGATTCCATCACTTTCCACCACCACAAGACTAGCTAATTCTTTAGAACAAATTGGTTGAATTTAGTCCCAAACGCAGAAAGCAAGTTATGATCATGAATAGTCTAGAATTCATTAGGATAATTACAACACTAGTAAGCAGTTAAATATAAGCAAATACTGACAGGCCACAGAATCTGATTTCATAGTTTTTTAGACTTTGAACTTTATGGACAGTATTTACATAAATGTAATAGACTGATAATATTCTGTATGAAGTATAGGGGTTCAAGACTTGTGAATACTTTATACGCATGTATTATGCTCTCTTTCTCCCTATCCCTCCAAGTTCCTAGATCATGGCTCTCTCTAATAGATACTTGAAATCTGAAATTTGCAGAACAAGGAACTAAGTAAAATTTATGTGAAATGTTCAGCTAATAATATGCATATTGAAAATGAGGATGTTTCCTCTTTGGGAATTTTCTACTCTTACTTCTATTTCACTAGTGGGGAAGTTGTTCAGATGTTTACAGTAAAAACACTGCGATAACTGTTCCAGCTAAGGCAGCTGTTTAATGATAATTGACTGTTACATTGCTTTGTTTACTTGTTTGTAGTGGAAACTTTAAAGCAATGAGCATCTTGATGACTTCATCAGTCCTTTGTTTCTTGGATGTTGAGAGAAATTTTTCAGAGGTTTCTTAAAATAAATAAATAAACAAATAAAGCGTCCATTCTGAGTTTCAGCTCATGATACTGCTTTCCAACATGATTTCTCTTTCTGTTTTAATATAGAAAGCCACAAAGCTAAGGCAGTGGCTTTTACATTAATCTTACCTTCAGTCTCAAGGTGCAGAGACCATTAAGTTGTTAAAGGTCAACTGTACATTCAAGTGCCAGTCTTTGTGGATGTAAATCACCACGGGGATACTAAAGTCAATTTGACCTGAGCTTGAGGAATGCATTAATATTTGGAGGCTTAAT